ATTAGAGAAGGCCTTGGAGTGGGGAGTTTGTTCAGACTACAGACTACTGCCTCTTTTTAAAGGTTCCTTTCTTTTAAAATTGCTGATACAGTATCTAGTGAATCACAAATAACACTTCTTATATTTTATTTAAATTATTATTGTCTCTGTCCATCTCTCTGTCTCTCTGTCTCTCTCTCTTTTTCTCTCTATCATTATCATAGGCTTGTAGGATGGAGATTGGCCAAACTACAGCCTGTCCTCTGAGAGACAAAATATAAAGAACTCTTCACTTGTTTAGGGTCAGTGAGAACATCTGCAGGAAAGTCCTCTACTGAAAGTAAAACTGACCTTTAGTTGACTGTTCTAGTAGATATTTGGTAGTTGGAAAGTTGATGTAAAACCTAAAACCTCCATGATGTGACTTTTTCATAGTTAAGAGGAAATTAGAATAACTAATTATGACATCATTTTATTATTCTGTTAGTCATTTGAAGCTACCTGGAAGTTCATTGTTGAATGCCTCCTATGCACAAGGCCTTATGTTTAATTATACCATCTGACCTTGAGAATCTTTAAGGATAGTTCCATATAAACCCAGCTCCTCTAGATAGTTTAGAGTCATAAATTTACTTCTTTGAATAATGATGCTGATGTTCCATTCAGTATACTTTATTTGTGCTGTGAGGATCTAACTTGGAGATAGTGTGGTCACCTCCATTTTACGGATGAGGAAACTGAAAGTCAGCAACTACGGAAGATACCCCAGGTCACATGACAGAACCTTGACCATGTAAGCTCCTAAAAAGCATAATAACGATTTTAACATAGATTAAAAGTTATCACAATGCTTTGCTTATGTTATCTCACCTAATTTTCCAAACCTGACAGTAGTTATTATTGAACTCATTTTGCAGATAACACTTGTATTTCTCATCTATTTAATATGCGCTGTGAGTGGCAGATAGCTTATCAGATATGGCCTAGTTTATGTTAAGCTCACAAAAACCGAATCAGGACAATTATTCTTATTTGGCAGATAAACCACGTGGGGTCCCAAAGTTTCAAAGTCTTGCTCAGCATAGTGAGGAACTGTCAGCCAAGCCTAGTTTTGTCTCCATGGTCAATGGGTGTGGACACTTGGCCCCATTCACTTCAGCATGCTATACAGCTGTATTTTCTGGATGAGGAAACTGGAGATTCGGAGTTGGCTAACACAGTTGACATCATACAGCTCATGAATAGCAGGGCTATACCTCCAGCTCACATTCTCATTAGGGGCCTGTTTATTTCTCACTGTACTGGCTGCCTCTCTGCCTGGGAGAACCATTAAGACTGTATTTTACATCTAAGATAATCACCCTCATTCCTTTGTGATATATTTAATCATCTAAGTTATTTTGTACATTTTGTTGAGTTCCTCCCATTTTTCAGGCTGGGGATACTAACCTATTAAAAGCATGCTACATCAGTAGAATTGAGACACAAATCAAACTAGTCGGTCAGGAAGTTGTCTGGTATAGCTGGATTCAGACAAGGCAAATCCAAATTTTATTCCTGCACATTCCTATCATATAGCTGTGTGGTAGCTGTCTCTTTCATCTGTTAGAAATGTTCTTGGGGGGGCTGGAGAGATGGCTTAGTAGTTAAGAACACTGAATGCTCTTGCAGAAGACCCAGGTTCGAATCCCAGCACCCACATGGTAGCTAACAACTGTCCGTAACTCCAGTTCCAGGGGATCAGACAGCCTCTTCTGTCCTCCGTGGGTATTGCATGACATGGGTGCACTTACCTACATGTAGGCAATACACGCATACACATAAAAATATAAAAATAAGCTGGGCATGGTGGCGCACGCCTGTAGTCCCAGCATTTGGGAGGCAGAGGCAGGCAGATCTCTGTGAGTTCAAGGCCAGCCTGGTCTACATAGTGAGTTCCAGGACAGCTGAGGCTACTGGGAGACCCTGCTTCAAAAAGACAAAATAAAATAAAAAACAAACAAATAAATAAATAAATAAAAATAATAAATAAAAAAAATTTTTTAAATGTGCTTGGTACCAGACTCTTGTCCTTTACAAGACAGCTTTCCTGCTCCGTCAGGAGCAAATCTTTCTCCATCTGAAGATGATTTTCCATTTCTCTAAATAGCAACTTACATTCATGGTGTAAGGTAAGGAAGTATGTCAGTACCAGATGATAAGTAAGGTCAATGACTTGGAGTTGAAATGCTGCCAGTCTTTACAGCTCAGCCTTGAGAATTTAAAGAATAGAAGTTCATTATTTTAATGATTAATTATCCTTTAGATTGTTGATAGAGTTTGGCCCTTTTATTTAAATTGCAAACTTGGGTAAACAGTCTTTAAAATTGAAGTTGTTTTTTTTTTCCCTTCCTTATCTATTAATGTCAGTGAGCATCAGATAAATATGCAGATGTATTTAATTATTTTCACTCAAGGAAGTATGTCTTATTTAGACTGTCTTTAAATAAATTGTTTCCAAATTGAACAAATAAACAAGAAATAGCTGAAACTAAACAGCTTCATCTGCATAGAAAAACCTAGAGGTTTTAAAAGAGGAATCGTCTCTGGAAAAACCCATGTCTCACTGTATATTCATTTTTATAGGGAGACATAAGCCTGCATTGACTATTCAAATACACGAATAGTTTTTCAAAATTAAGTTGTTCATTTTGAAAAAGAAATGGTTTTGCTTTTTTGTTTGTTTTTTTTTTTTTAAGATAAGAGTGAACACTGGAGAGAGAGCTCAGAGGTTAGAAGCACATGCTGTTCTTTAGAGGACCTGTGTTCTGCTCCTGGCGTCCACATGGGGCAGTTCACAGTGCCTGTAACTCCAGCTTCAGGGAATCCAATGCCTTCTTCTGGCCTCTGAAGCCACTACAGTCAGGTACACTTAGACACACACACACGCACACCACCCCCACCCACCCATAATTACAATTAAAGATAAATCTTAAAAACAAAGAATGAGGGGCTGGAGAGATGGCTCAACAGCTAAGAACACTGGCTACTCTTGCAGAGAATCTGGGTTCAATCCCCAACACTCACATGGCTGCTAACAACTATCTGTAGCTCCAGTTCTAGGGAATCCAACACCCTCTTCTGCCCTCTGTGGGTCTTTCATGCATGCAATGTACTTATATACATGCAGGAAGCACTCATACACATAAAATAAAAATAAATTAAAAATTAAAACAAAGAATTTGCTTATGTAAAGTTTCCTGTGCTAGTTTTTTCCTGATAGTTTCCTCATGTTACCATGTATTTCTGTGGTCAGGTTATTATGAGACTCCTTTGATCAATGAGGAAAATAGGCTTGATGTTACTGAGAGGCTACCCCAAGATTATATAGAAAGTGGAAGTCTTGGGGCTGGAGAGATGGCTTAGTGATTAAGAGTACTGACCACTCTTACAAAAGACCCTGGTACAATTCCCAGAACCTACAGGGTGGCTAAAAGCCATCCATAACTCGAGTTCCAGGGTATCTGACGCCCTCTTCTGTTCTCCACAGGCACTGCACAACACGGGTGCATTTACATACATGCAGGCAATACACTCATACAAATAAAATAAAAATTAATTAATTAATTAAAATTAAAAAACCAAAAGTGGAAATCTCAGAGCTAATTCTGATCCTAGTTCCAAACATTCTGAAGTCTATGTATATAATGATATACCAACTAGCCTATAAAACAGCTACTATCCTATAAAAAGTCTGCTACATTGAAGTTAGCATAAAAATTTAGGTTAGCATTTAAAATGTGTTAAGTGAAATTTGCTTATGATTCTGTTAGTTAGCCTTTGAGAAAGAGCAAAACAGTTTGAAACTGCACGCTTTTTATTGGCATCTATAACAAATTTACCTTCTTTTTTCTTATACAGACTATCTTTTAATTCATCTTCTTAGTCTTGAGTTTCCAGCTCCATGGAGAAACTCCGTAGAGAAATATCAAAAGACGTTGTTTGTTCTTGGCAATTAATCTTAGTTTTCTGCCCATTATCTTTATTATCGGTGACTGTGGGTAACACTAGACCACAGTCCAAACACATGGCACTTTTACTTTTTTAAATTGGTTATTTTTTATTTTAGTGTATGAATGTATTGCCTGCATCTGTGTAAGTGCACCCATGTTGTACAATGCCTGTGGAAATCAGAAGGTGTTGGATTCCCTGAAACTGGAGTTACTGATGGTTATTAGCTGCCATGTGGGTGTTGGGAATTGAACCTTGGTCCTCTGCAAGAGCAGCCAGTGCTCATAACTGCTGAACCATCTCTCCATCCCCACATGACACTTTTTAAACAGATTTCAGTGGGATCAAAAAACATTTTCCTGTTTGGTATCATTTTCTTCCTATCAGAAGCACATATATTTGACACTCGACCTGGATAACAGTGACATTTCTCAGCTTTTAAATGACTGTCAGCTTTGAAATTAAATTTTATTTTTTTTCTTGACGGTTATTTTCTATTCTAACTTTAGTGTGGAATAATGTGTCCTGCTTCCTTCCTTCCTATTCCTTGTACATGCTGCCCCTTCAACTCACCCCCATCCTTGTTCTCTGTCTCCTGTACCATTCTGTTGACCTACCTGGAGGGAAAGCATACTGCCTGGAAATCATGGAATTGTGTTCTTTAAAACCAAGAAGTATATAAAAGGCACAGTCTACATCTCTTTAAAAGTTATACAAGTTAATTTTTCAAAACAGATAATTTAAAAGAAAACGTGCTCAGGAAGGAATGTTAGGGATACAGAGCATAAATAAAATAAATTCCACTTAAAAAAATAGATTGTTTTCTAAATGACCACTGAACTTTCTGAATAAAAATATTTATGCCTAAGATAGACAAATGGTCCTTATGCACGATCCATTTCGTTGCATTCATGGAGATGTCAAATCTGGAGTTTGGGCTATTCAAGGCATGAGAGGGAGAGACAGTGGGAGCAGTCCTTTCAATGTCTCTGAAGCATTCTGTTAATGTTTTTTTTTTTTTTTTTTTCCAGATCCCAGGCAGGCACAGTCTTCTCCGCCGTGGTCCTACGACCAGTCTTACCCGTCCTACCTGAGCCAGATGACGTCCCCATCCATCCACTCTACCACACCACTGTCTTCCACACGGGGTACTGGGCTACCTGCCATCACTGACGTGCCCAGGCGTATTTCAGGTAAAGAACAAGCTTTAACTAAAAGCCCACCCCTGTGCAAGGGCGAGGGTGGTGGTGATAGACCAAGCCTGTGTTCACGGTCCCTCTCAATTAGAGGCATGTGGGCAAGGGTGTGACAGTGGGCATCAGGTCTTCTGAATTCCGGGGTTATCAGACATTTGAACAGTTTAAATAGAGTGATTGAAAATCAAGCAGAAATACACTTTTCTTAAAATCAGGACATCTTTCCATGAAGCATACAGCATACTGTTGTCATGCTGTTGTGACAGCCCCAGAACCCAAATTCATTACTTTAAAGACACCTACCCCAAAACTTGTAGATCACAGAGAAAGTATGTGTATGCAATGATCTGGCCACCCTCTTCTCCATCCTGCAGAATTTAGCATAGGGAACCAGAAAGTACCAGTGAGGACTTCAGACAGACACATAAAATTAAAGGCTCTTACCCAGTCGTGTTGAGTCCTGAAAGTAAAGAAAAGAATCTCTCCATTTACTCTAATGCACAAATTCCAGCATCTCCCGCCCCTTTAACAGAAAGGTACAGTCCCACAGAAGCACACACCCACCCCGTCCTGTGCCATCCCACACTCTTCTCAGTGTTTGGGCCCCAAGCTCCCTTTTGACTCCACTCCTGGCCAGGTTAATGCCTTTCTTTCTCTCTCTTTGTGTTTCTGTCTGTTTCTCTCCCTCTCTCGTGTTCTGCAAAGCTCGAAGCCACTACTCTCTCCGCTGAGTCGCATCACTGCCAAGCTGAAGCTTCACCAGCAGGCTTGCAGGTTTCAAATAGTTCATATTCTTTATTTCTTTCAACTTGGGAGGAGGGAAGGCTTTGTTTTTGAAGCAAGTAGCAGGAAAGGGCTCCCTGGTCCTAGTGTCTTCATGTTTTCTACTGCCTTGGACTCCTGGGGGTGAGTAGGGAAAGGAGAGGGGTGGAGGAGAACTGCAAAGTCCTTTGGGAAACCATGTTACCACTTTTCATTTACCCCTGCTGCCATTCCACTTATGAATATTATGGCATCTATTGGGGGGCTGTACATAGTATAGAAATTTAGTTTTATCTCCTGTCTGAAATCACCATCTCCTTTAGGCAGATATCAGTCAAAGACCAGGAGAGGAAGGGTAAGATACAGAGGAGGTTAACAAGCTGGTATGGGGCTGAGGTCCCATGTTGATGGAGATGACTTAGTTCAGCATTCCATGTATATTTCCTACCAAAAGTCTACTTTATTTTACATAGGACCCAAATGACACCTAGACAGAACAGACTTGTGTAGACTTGCTTGGCTCTGGGGTCCCTTTGGGCTTCCATCTGACCAACCCTCTGTGGCTAAAACAACTTTTACTCCTTGAAACAGCCCCAGGGAACTTTCGTAGTTATAGAAACATGACCTGTAGGATATCCTTAGTGAGGTGTATTTGTATATGGATTCACTACGGAAACTGTCAAAAACGACTTTACAGAGTTGCTGCTTGACAGGACAGTCATTGGTGTTTGCCATTCTCATGTGTCATGTGGGAGACCAGATCATTTTGAGTCAGTTTACTGAAAATTCACTTAAAGCATTTGCATAGAACTATATTATAACTCCTTTCACTGCACAGAGGAGGTAGGAGTGGAAACCGGCTAGTTATGCAGCCATATGTTGATCTTTAGCCAAAGGTAGGAAGGAGCCCCTGCTTTAATCTGGTTTACAACCCAGTTTAGTCCAGTCTCCCCCCTCCCCAAGCATCTCTGTGAGTTGTGACTGATAAAGAAATAACATGGAGCCAAGGTGGGAGGTTTTGTATAAACATTAAAGAGAACAGAAAATCCCTCCTGTCAGCATGTGGGGAAACAGGAGGAAACAACCAGCCATGGACTGTCAGGGAACTGGAGGAACCCTGTTCCACTTGACCCTGCTCTTGGCTGTGGGGCTGAACCTACCTGATGGGCTTGGACCATGCTACCAGGACTGAGCACCTCCCCTACTTCCCAGGGCCCATCCCAAGTATTTTCTTAGACAGATGCTGCTTCATAGTTTCCCAGGGGCTGAGTTGCATAGTTTCTATTTTATTATTCTTCCCTTTAATGGTAAAGCTATCCTTAAGATCCACAATTTAGAGCCTCCTACAAGTGAGGCTTAAGGAAGATTTTGATGCTGTAGGAGATAAAACCCTTTGGATGGAGATATTACCTATGCCTCTGGTCTTCATCGTGCTCTGTGCTAAAGAATATTGTTAACCTGTAACATGAACAGATAAAATGTTAACCCCATCACCCTCCCCTAGCAGCCCTGTGGCCACTTTTTAAAGATGTTTTCCAGGATAGTTGAATTTTTGTGAACAGAAATTAATTCTCATCTCCCTGTCTAAAGGGTTACACAAAATTCACTTATGATGTTGGATGAGAAAGAATAAAAGTCTTCATTTATGGTAGGATTGAGGGTTTGCACCTAAATTTGAATCTTATACAAATATCAGACAAACTTTTCACCTGTCTAAAATTTAGGTTTAAAAAATTATTGATAGGAATGTAATGTTGATCCCTTATCATTATTCTAAGTGCTTAAGCTGTTCAGGGCAGACCTGACATATGGCATGTGACAGATTATAGCTGATATGTTGCAGCTAAAATTGTTTTAAAAATTGTATATCCATATGCCATTTGCAGGTAAGTCTTGGCTTAAATTAATAAAATAAATAGAAATCTAAAATTTTAAAAGAGTTTATTTGCTCAACAAATAAATGGATCACCACAGGACATATCTAAAATAAAAACATCCCTTTGAATATTTCAATATTTAAATGAGTTAATTCAGAAATATTCAATATAATATATAGCACATAGAATTGCTGAAACATTGGCATTATTGTTATTAAGATTTAAATGACCGTTTTATAGTGTTAAAAGAAGTTCACAAAAATGTCACTAAAGTATTAAGAAAAAAGTTTAATTTTATCATAAATAGAAAATGTTGAGTTGTACTTATATTTACTAGGCATGTTACTAGTCTGTTCCAAAGGACTCATGGGAATACAAGCAATCAGAAAGATCTGCTTCTAAAGAAATTGCAGTTGATCCTGAAACACCATTCGAAAGGAAAAGGCTGACTAAATCTATTTGAAGACCTTCAGAGGACCCAGTTTTACAACTTCTTTTATTAGCATCCTTTCCTCTAAGGAAATTTTCAGGAGTGTTTAAAGTCCTAGAATTTAATGAACTGTAGTAATGACAGTGATAGACTGCATAATTCATGCAGTCTTCCTCAAATCCTTTATGGAAGCCAGGTATAAACATAATAAAGTCCAATGAAATGGTAGAGGCAGGTTTTTCTAGGATTCCAATTTCATTGCTGAGAAAGTTTTAATATTAGATGTCTTAAAGTTCATAGGCACAAATAAAGATTTGGGACATATTTCTTTAATCTTAGCAGGCCTTAAATGTAAAAAGAACAATAGTTGAAATTACAGGTTCATAACTAAACAGTACGTAATTGTCATCTAATTGACAGATGGGGCCTCCTTGATAATAATGACTTTGGGTCATACTCGGTTAAATTGTAAAAGTCAAGTTCAATTTAACGAAAACCAACCTCATGATGTTACCATGCAGAAGAAGCCCTGTAGGGTCTGGTCCTCTTCCTCCACCATGTTTGTTACATTGCATAAGGCCTTATCATATAATTAAACTAAATTTACATAGCATCCCAACCATGTTCTCATTTCATCTTGTGTCATCCTGAAAGACTTTTTACTCCACAGAAGCAGCTTGTTATTTCTCAGTTCTTTTTTTTTTTTCCATCTTTTTGAGACAGGGTCTCCCTGTAGCCCCAGCTGTCCTGGAACTAACTCACTATGTAGACCAGGCTGGCCTTGAACTCACAGAAATCTGCCTGTCTCTGCCTCCCAAGTGCTGGGATTAAAGGCGTGCACTATCACGCCCGGCTCTCAGTTCTTTTTTTTAAAAAATATTTAATTTATTTATTTCATGTGTATGAATACATCACCTGTATGTGTGTAAGTGCACCTGTGTGGTACAATGCCACCAGAAGTCAGAAGAGGGCGTCAGATCCCCTGGAACTGGAATTATGGATGGTTTTTAGTCACCATGTGGGTGCTGGGAACTGAATCTGGATCTTCTGCAAGAGCAGCTGGTGCTCTTAACCACTAAGCCATCTCTCCAACCCCTTTTCTCAGTGATTGTTTTATAAAAAAACAAGTTTGACAAAGCAAAGACCAGCAGACTGTGCACGGCCCAAATCACAGGATGGCTTTGTGATTGTAACAATGTTGTCACCGATGATTTGGGGGCTGTCTAAGGCACCAGTGAGGCTTGATACAAAGATTATAATTACTTTTCTGGAGGTCATTTCAAAATACTCTATAAGTAATTGTTGACCTTCAGAATATATTTGGTGTAATAATCCTGCCACAGAAAGAAAGGATGACAGTTGAATCTGATTCTTGACCTATGTATGAGTCAGAAAGGTGCTCTTGTTCCTTCCTAAAGCTCAACTACAGGGTTTCCCACTTAGGTTGACTCTTCCCCATCCCTCCCATCTGCAGTAACTTTGAGCAACCCAGATGTGTACTCCCTCTGTGCCATACATGAGGTGGAAGGGACTGACAAAGGCATTTCTCTGTAGTCTTGTCACAGTGGGCCTCTGAGGCTCTCTGGGGTTCTTGTAGAAACGTGTTGGAGAGACCCAAGGAAGGGTCATCATAGATGACGCTGTCTGAATTACTTTGGGAGAAGCCACTATAAGTTGTATGAAAAAAATATTTATTGTTTTTTTTTTAAGATTTTTTTTTCTGGAGTCCCCCCCCCTTTCCTTTTTGTTTGTTTGTTTGTTTAAGCAAATAATCTTGAAACTCTTCTTTCAAAATATCTTAGTATCAAAACAACTCCAGTCAACTGTACATGGCTGATGAAGATGTTCCCATTTTTATGACTCTCAGCTGCTAAAATCTGGTATTTTCAAAAGTCAGCAGAATAGGCATTAGCCTAATAAATAAGTCA